TGTAATTATTTGGTGACTTTATGGTTTGTATTTGGTGGCTATATGGTTTGTATTTGGTGGCTATATGGTTTGTATTTTGGTGGCTATGTGGTTTGTAATTGGGTGACTATGTAATTTTTATTTGGTGGCTATGTGGTTTGTATTTGGTGGCTTTTCAAAGTAGACCTCTGCGTCTGGGGACTCTCCCCACCATGTCGCAGACCTCGTATGAACTATCTCTTGGTAGGTCCTTAGCAGCCTTGACATCGTAACTTCACTACTCTGTAATGAGTTTTTCTTTTCCTAAATGACTTCAGCTTAGAACGGGTCAGTAATATTTGTATGTCAGCCCTGTGTTCTAGCCTCCGCAGAAACAAAGCTACAGCGAAATTGGAAATCCTTGCCCGTTTTATGAAAAAGATTTTATGAAAAGAAATGGAACCATTATCTTCACGTGGTACATGGTGACAGGAAAATACAAAACTTGACGTACCTACCTGTCATATGATAATTTATCACCCTCGTCATTGATCTTGGTCTCTGTTGCGGAATAGTCTCGGGTATCACGCTAATTCTTTCAGAATCAATAAAAAGCACCATTGCTACTTAAGTTTTCTCCTCAAGACAAAATTCATCAACAAAGTTTTGGTGAAATTTTGAATGATTCTTCACATACGGAGAGACGTGAAGAACACGAAAGCTTTTGCACTCTTCCACTTCAGGGAGAAAGTTTCCTGAGCTTTATACCAACTAAGCAGATATCTATCACGGGGTCTCTCATATCGACTGTGGTCCTTCCCCTTCGTTCAATGACTAGTCTAAAGAAGGTAGGCGGCATGACAAAAAACGAGGGAGCCAATATGTTGATTAGTACTGCTTCAATACTATGTTTTTGTGACAGAGGGGGGTTTGTAGTTTGATGTTGACTCACACGTTAAAAGTCAATCACAAGTAAAAGAATTTATACACAAGCCACACGGTCCGACGTGACACGTGAATTCAATGCTCGAGGTTTTTGCACAAATTCAACTCTAGATGAGATAATCACTATTCCTGCAAGCTTTTGAAAGTTTTGATCCCAAAACTTCAGGCATTCAGCTAAACCCCATTTGGCAATATTCTATTGGAGACAGGTTGTAGCTATCTGAGATGCAGGGTCAATCTATAATTCGAGAGGCCACAGTTCCCTCTACTTGTTACGTTGTACCGGCTAGTATTCGGCAAGTATTGCATCATTGCACACGTCGTTCAAATGCCGGTTCTTTTAGATATATTTCTGTATGAATTGCTCGTTTTCTGTTTGAAAAAGTGCTTCCGGATGCCTCCAATTCAGCTCCCTGTTTCACTGGGGATGCAACACACCGGAAAAATACTAACAAGCCAACAGACTCACGCAGCCCAAGCCAGTTTATGAAGCAACACACGACATCTCATCTATGTGAACTACGTGGCATTAGTCAAATCTTCCCGGCATTTTCAGTACCCTCCCTGGGCTATCAACTTTGTGGGTAGTGACAGATGGTATGGTACCATAGATTATTGAGATCCGGTGCCCTTTCCCTCGGAAGACCCCATTTAAGTTATTAAAGTAGCAGCCAAGAGCTTTTATGTTTAGGCCAACTAAGCCCAACCAACAAGACCCAACCAACAAAACCCAAATGACAAGTTCTTGAACATATTGAGGAGCCTGGGGCCTGTAGATTCGCACCATGTATATTGGCACTAGTCCTGGGGCAACAAGACAATACGACAAAACCGTGCGATTTAGTATTTCCTCGAGTTGCCCCCAAAAACAGTCACTGTATCAGTCAATGATAATTCACCCGCCGTTTATCTTTTGTGCATATCTGTCTTCCCAGGCACATACCTTTAATTCTCAAATAAACGTCCCAAACAGATGCACTGCCGCCTTCTACAAAGATCTTCTCAATAGAACCCAATTTATGAAGAAACTATGTAAAATATGTGCTGGAGCGTCGATTACAAAGTGGCCTGTAATATTACTTCTGCTGATCGCCTCAACCAATATGGGGATTGTTATGCCTGATGGATTACGTGACACACCTAAGACCTCAGTATAATATATGATTACCCCCAATCAAACACCATGTCTACGCATATGCCCTTCACCGTCTATACAAGAGCTGAGATTTTAACCACACGAATCAAATGAGAAGGCATTTGAGTTCTAATAAAACAGACAGTATCAATGGTAACAAATAATAATCTGTCAGCAATGCGTTTCTTGATATTATCAGCACGTATGCGTAAATCCTCGAAAGCTTCTCTGGAGCAATGCGGTTAAGGTCTAATTGTTGCAAGAGAGCACATAATATACACTTCACAATCTTGAATGCTAGTCTAGGAATAAGTCACAGGTGCAAACAGATGCATCAAAAAGAGGGGTTGTGCCTCTTTTATTATTTACTCTGTCCAAAAAATATTCCAGCAAGCAACCGAAGTTCCATGAGTTGACATACACCAGCTCTTGTTCTACCTGCTCTTTGCAGAGTAAGAACAAGAACCTTTTAACCTGTCTACAAAAACAAAATAAGTGGTATCTTCCCATACCCATGCTTAGTCATGGTGTATTAGAAACTTTTTCAAATTGTCAGGTGTCTGCTGCAGAACTGCTCCCTATGGATGGCTTACCCTGGAGATTTCAAAATGTAATAAATAATTTCATTCCTCATTTATCAAGACGTCTAGAAGTGTCGGTGCTGAATTTTGACAAAGGCCGTATCTTTTTTAGACACAACAAAAGGCACTAAAATACTCTGGCACCGAGTGTCCAAGAATTGAAGGAACTATCCGCACATTGTGTTATAAACATGTTAAAACAAAGAACAGGATGGCCCTTGGCTATCTACTTGATCACAACATGTCAAATAAGATTCCTTCCCTGCTGCTTGGTTGATTAATACCTAAAAAATTTACCCAGATCCATCCCTTTTAAATGCACCGCCAGCTTTGAAAAGCCTGTTTGCGAGTTGATTTTTGAGCCGCCTCCAATCGAAGTGGTCCATGGCTACGTAGGTCCAAAAGTGTGCATTTGCTACCGAAAGGCAGACCTAATGTTTGTTGACCTCATCCCCGATCTAACGGCCTATTGACGACTCGGCACCAAGTGAGTATATGTAAATATCGATATTCTAAGAAAACCCTGAACGGTTGTCTAGATAAATAACTCGGTGATATCGTTTTTCAACACCTCGAGGTCTTTATCTTGGCCAGCCAACGGATTATACACCACGAGTTTCTGGTTTAACGTCTTTAGTCTCTGGTGATAGAGCTTCAATTTCTCAACGAACGGCGCAGGCCGCGAGTTGCTCTCGAGCAAGAATTTGAGGAGGTTGATCTCGAGCTGCACATTGCCGTTGAATTCGTTCAAGCGAATCATCAAGTCGCTCTTGTTTTTGTTGGCGTCCAACATACGTAGGAGCGACGCCACACTGTAGTCGACTACTTTGAAGAACTTGAGGAACCAGAAAAGCGAGTAGATGGAGGTGCCGCCAACCTCTTTTTTGTCCAGGACCTCTGATAGGAGGAGACTGAAGGAGTTCAGCAAGAACTGGAGCGTGAACTGGAAGGACTCTGTCTCCGAGAGCTGGTCCAGCTCAATCAAGAGGTAGTAGTAGTCCAAGTTGACGAGGCCAATGAAGTTCTGCAAGAGCGACAGCTCGGCGTACTCCGAGTGGATGAGCAGCAGCACGCCCACGCGCCAGGCCTCGATTTCCGCCAGGAGCTGGGTCAACAGCTCCTGCTCCGCAGGCACCAACCCCAAGCGGTGGGAGAGCATGCGGTCTTGCAAGGAGTGGAGCATGACCAGGTGCGCCATGAACGCCGCGCTCCTGTCCAGCTCGCCCGGGTGCAAGGAGTCGGAGAAGTCCGCAGAGAGCCGTATGATGGGGGTCGGGACGAACTGGCTGGGCTTGTCCAACAGGAGCGAGAGCTCCTTGTCCAAGTTGAAGATGGTCCAGAAGCAGCGCTTGCGCATGCACGCGTTGGACAGGCCGGTGAAGTCGGATAAGAACACAATGAGGCGGTCGAGGAAGCCCACGATGTTCCAGATGAGGTTGGTGTTGCCCACGTTGATGGCGTGGATGCTCAAGAGAATGAGGAGGTGCGCCTTGTGGAGGTCGTCCTCGGACTTGATGTCGTAGCTGATGACGTCCACGACGGACTCGACAAACGACTCGCTGAAGACCGCCGCGTAGTGCAGCGTCTTGAAGCTCGCATCGTAGATGATGCAGCCGATGGCCATGACCAAGTACACGTCGAGCCCGACGAGCGTCTCGGTCTGGAAGGACAAGTTCTCGATCTTCCGGCAGAAGTCGTGGCGGCTGAGGAACGGGTACTTCCACTCGTAGTTGGCGAAGAACGTGTGCACAAACGCCGACGGCAAGCCCGCGTCCGCCACGGGCCGCACGGCCAAGAGCTCGCCCTGCAAGCTGGGCGCGCCCCTGTCCACGACGCACGAGGAAATCACGTTTCGGTTCACGGACACCAGCGGCTTCAAGCGCAGCAAGGCCGCGGGCGCCATGCGCGAGCTGGTCCGCGACACGCCGGGATCCGCCGGCGGCGCCGCGCGGCCCGCGGGCGGCGCGAGCGGGTCGATGTTGCGGAACGGCTGCTCCGCGTCGTCGTCGTGGTTCATCAACGACGCCACCAAAATGGGCGCCCGCGACTGCCCGGGCCCGGGCGGCGTGTCCCCGGGACTGGCCGGCACCTCCTCGAACCGGAGCCGCCGCTTGCGCCGGTCGATGTACTCACACTCCGTGTTCAGCCGCTGGCAGTAGTCGCAGGCGGGGTACGTGCGCAGGCACTTTTTCTTGAGCTTGTAGCACCGCGCACAGTTCAGGTCGTGGTGGGGCGACGCGAGCTCCAAGGGCGTGCCGCCGGGCGCCTGCGGCTCTGCCGCGGCGGCGCCCGCTTTCTGGGCGCCGGGCGAGGTGTATGCGACCCGGAACTTCAGGGCCACGGCGCCATTTTTCATGGGTTTCTCGAAGCACACGTCCGTCGACATGCTGCCGGAGAGAAAAAAAAAAGGGGGAGTTTGGGAAAGGGCGGCCGGTCGCGGCAGGGGGGTGCTGGGACAGGCTGTGGCGGGGCGTTCTGCAGCGTTGGTGCCGGGGAAGAAAAGGCGTGAACTCGGTGTTGGGCGGTGGTTTGGATTCCTGCGCTGGCCTAGTAGTCCATCGGCCGCGGGCCAGGATTTGCGCGCGGGCCCGATCGGTCACGCCGCTAGAGAAAGAAGGCGGGCGCCTGCACACAGCGCCGCGCGCGCGGGGCGGGCGGGCCGGTGCGGCCGTTGTGCCTGCCCTGGGTCGCGGGCGCTCAGGTCGTGCCGGGCCCAGGCGGCCTGGGGTATTCGAGCCGCCGCTTGAAGCGGGTGTGGTTTTTGGGGTTGGGTTTTTGGTTTTTGTTTCTTGTTAGTGTGTGGGTTGGATTTTGTGGGTTGGATTTTGAGGGCTGCTTTTGTGGATTGGTTTGGATTTTGTGGGCTGGATTTTGTGGGCTGGATTTTGTGGGCTGGATTTTGTGGGCTGGATTTTGTTCGTTGGTTGTGTGTCGGGCGGTTAGGGGGTTTGCCGAGACTCGCCTAGTAGCTTGTTTTTGTGGGTGGCCCGGGCGGCGCGCCCCAAGACAAATCCGGCGGCGGCGGGCGCTGGGCCTGGTGCTGCTCCATGCAGGAAGGGGCGAACGGGAGGCCAGGGCGGGGAATGGGCAGCACGGGGAAATGGGAACAGGCATACGGAATAGCGGAGGATGGCCGGCATGGAATAGGAAATTGGCTGACACGGAAATTGGAAATCAGCTGACATGGAAGATGGAAATTGGTTGACATGGAAATTTGTAAAGTTGTAAATTGACTGAGATGGAAAATCAGCTGACATGGAAA